CTACAGCGGCGAGCGTCGATTCGCGCCCCCGCTTCTTCTCTTCCTCGAACAGCACGATCATTCGGTCCGCTGGGGGTCGGATTACCTCCCTGGGATTCATCATCTGAGCCCACTGGACTCGATGCTCAGCGCGGCGCCATGTCCCTCGGTGCTTTGCATGAATGGTACGCAGCGGCCATTGCGCCGCAGGGTGTCGCCCCTCCAGTGCCACCCGGGCCCAGGCATCATCATGCAGGCTCCGGACGGGTTGTCCCTGCTCGGTCAGTGCTCAACCCGGGGCATTTGCGTGCCGCGCCAGCTCCGGAGGGAGGCCCGAGGGCAGGCCGCTCCCTTGTGCAGCCCTGGGGATCGCGGCGGCATCGTCCGCGACGTCTGCGCCGTCGATCTCTTCCGCCGCTGGATCGCCCTCCCTCGCCGATGGCGGGGGCCCGTCGTCGGATTCTTCCCCTGGCACCAGGCCTCCGGCCGCCTCTAGGTCCTCCAGCTCAGGGTTCAGGGGCCCGTGAGGTCCTCGGACTCCTCGTGACTCATCGCCTGGCGCATCTCGTCGAGCGACCGGCGCAGCCCCCCATCTTCTGCCAGGTGCTCCTCTTCGGGGCTGAGCAGCCCCGGGTGTTCAGGGGCGACCAGAAACGACCCCCCGCCTTATGTGCTGCGCCCGCGCGTCGTCGTTCCTTCGGCCGAACGCCGTGGCGGGGCCGCGCCGCTCAGGCCCTCTTCGGCGCGGAAGGGCCGGGGGAAGAACAACAGTTTTCCTTCGCTCCAGTCCATGAAGTTGCCGCGGCCCTCACGCGGCTACTGCCCGCTGGGCCAGCTCCAGGCTCTTAGTTTCGATGAGGGACGGCTGGCAGTGTCCGCGGATCTTGGGCCGCCTGGCCAGCGGGTCACCTTCTTCGGCGACGCAGGGGCGAGAGCCTCCGGTAGCCGCGGCGGGCTGTAGCCGCGCTGCCTCGTGAAGTGACTTGGCGCGGTAGCCGTGTCCCAGGCGAGGGCCCCCCATTTCGTCCGGACCGCTGTGGGCTCCGTGCCAGATGCTCTTCTTCATCGCGCCCTTCGCCTCCTGAGTCTCGCGCTCCACCATGCCCTTCTGCCGCGGCGCGCGCGCCGCGGTCGGGTCGCAGGTGCTTCCGCTGCGCGAGAGGGCGCCCGCAAAGCTGCCGCCCGCGAGTGCCCGCTCGCTGTCGGGCGCAAACTGGTCGGGCGGGCCGGCCCGCGACAACCGTGGCCTCTCTCGCCGCCCCCGCAACTCTTCGCTGCTGCGTGTCTGCGCAAGCTCGATCGCGCAGCGCCCCGCGGCCGCGTCCTGCGCCAACATGAACTGACAGCCCTCGCCACTCCGATCGGCGACCTTGAACGGGTCTGCTTGGACCGCTCCGTTGAACGTCAGATCGCCCTCGCGCAGACGGGTCTTGCGCGGGGGTCGTTCGCGCGGCCGCCCAGCGCAGATCGAACGCCGCGGCGCCTTGGCACCGGCGACGGCCGCCCCGTGCCCTCCTGCTTTCGCCGCCGGGCGTGCCAGGTCGTCCGGACTGGCGTGTCCTGATGTGCAGCCTCGTCAGGTTTCGCCGGACTTCGGGCGTCGCGCGCTCTTCCATGGTCTTGCCCGCCGTCGACGTGTCGGGGAACTGAAGCGTGGTTCCGTCCGGTATGGCTGCCCCGCTGTCTTCTTCCGTCGCGGCCGTAGGGCAGCAGTCAACAGGGGGCCCCAAATTCTTCCAGGCCGCGCGCCGGCGCGGCCCGACGCGGGGCCGCGCCTGAGCCGGCTGATCCTTTCTGGCTGTGATCCCCGAAGGAACTGTCGCAGTCCACGCGGGGTCCAGAGTGCCATCGGGCGCCGCCGCGCCTGAAGCCGGCCGGCCAGACCGCCCTTGGTCTTGGACTTCGGCGGCGATATCCGCGCAGTTGGTGGCCCACCAACTCGGGTTTCGCGCGGCGCCTTCGCTCTGCCGGCCCGGTGGATCGCACGGGCCGCCGCGTGGCGTCTCGACCGACGGTTTGACGGACAGCGCCGGGATGGGGTTGGCGTTCCGGCCCAGCGCGCAGCCTCCGAGCCCCTCCTGGGTCTCGACCACCTTCAGCGCGAAGTCCTCGAGCGCTCGTTGGTGTTCTCGGCTGGCTCGTTGTCTCCGCCGATCCGCTCTGCTTCCTGCCGGCCTAGACTTCGTCGCCATCGAGCCTCCGCTTGGATCTCGACCACCGCCAGCCTAGGTCTTACATGCGCCAATATCGCTAGGGTGGCGTCTCGATTCTCTCCCCGACTGAGGTCCCCGTCGCACGTCGTCTTATCCCACGACCGCAGACAACACCAGCCGTTCTTCGATCCTATGCGGCCGACCTCGCCCGGACCACTGAAGAGCTCCACCGCGTCCACTCGATCGGTGCCCCAACGCTGTTGGGCCAACTGGCCACCGCTGGTCTGGTGCACCCAGCCTCCGAGCACGCCCGCAGCGAACGCGACGTTCGTGAGCAGAGCCCCGCATCTCTTCCTGACCTGAATAGCAGCCTGTCCCGTCGGGCGTCGGCTCCGGGGGGGCGCCGCCCCCTTTCCGGCCCGACTGGCCCCCATGGCGGCCAGCACTGGTCGCGTCGTGCGGCTCTCCGTCGCGGCGCCCCAAGGGGCCGCGGGCCCCTCTCCAAAGTCCACCTCCATGGACTCTTCCGTTTTTATCCCCATGGACTCCATCTTGGGGGTCAGGTTCCTTGGCCTCGGCCCTGGGACGGGAATGCACTCGGTCTCCGCTTGTGCGTCGCTCGCGTGCTGCCTGACGTCTCGGATGAGCTCTTCCCTTTTTTGTTGCGCCCGTCCGCTCTCGTCAGCCCGATCTCCCTGATCGCGGCCTCTTCCTGCAGCTTCGCCAGCGCCATCTAGGTCAACCCCTTCGGCAGGGTGGTTCGCGGGTCGTCCCATGCCAACCTTTCCTCCTGGGAGGCACCCTTCTTTTCCCGAAGCGCGAGACTCAATTGACCAACGGTCTCCGCTTCCGCTCGATCTCGACGCCATCTCAGCTCCTGCATGGCCATCGTCACCTGCTCGGCCTTGCGCATCTGCCAGATGCTTCGAAAGCGGCCTTCCCTCTGCCGGAGAGTCTCCACTTCCTTTTTTCCAGGAGCCCCGCCAGGAGATCCTGGAACCAAGCCTTGCAGACCAGGAAGACCATCTGCAGGGCCAGTCTCCCTCGAACCGTCCCGGTGCGACACTGTGCGGCCGTCGGGCGCCATGTCGGCATCCGCTCGCGCGCGAGCGCCCTTGCCGCCCAGGATCTCACCAGCTCGCTGCCGCAGGAATTTTGAGCCGAGAAAGGCTGCGGTCGCCGCCGTCGCCGCGGTCTCGTTTCGTTCGTTTCTCGTGGCCTCGTCTCGTTCGTCGTGGTCCGCTCCAGCCTCGTGGATGAGGATGTGCCTCCGCTGATGAGGGCGGTGCCCTGCAGAAACTGGAGGCACATATCCACATGAAAGAGGGCGAGATCACCCTGGGCGCGGTCGGTAGGAACCGATTGCCGCTCAAGGAGCTGAACTCGGGGCCTTCTCCGACGACGCAGACGGCCCCCCAAAAGGCTGGAGGGTTTATTCTGCGAAACCCTGGCACCTTCTAAACAGGCCTGCCCCTTCTGACTTCTCCCCCTCGGCGCGCCGCCGAACCTGTTTCTCGTTCCACGGATGAAAGAGAAGGGAGGAGGAGGGAGGAGGAGGGATAAAGGGGGAGGAGGAGGAGGAAGGAGGAGGAACAAGAGGAGGGAGGAGGAGGAGGAAGAGGAGGAAGAGGAGGAGGAGGAGGACGATAATAATAACACTAATAATAATACGACTAATACTGATAATGCCATCAATAATATGAATGATCATACTAATACTAATAATAGCAACAATAGTACTACTACTACTACTACTACTACTACTACTACTACTACTACTACTACTACTATTACTACTACTACTACTACTACTACTACTACTACTACTACTACTACTACTACTACTACTACTACTAACTACTACTACTACTACTACTACTACTACTACTACTACTACTACTACTACTACTACTACTACTACTACTACTACTACTACTACTACTACTACTACTACTACTAATACTACTACTACTAATAATAATACTATTAACAACAATCAAACTGTTCATAATAATAATAATAATACTAATCATAATAATACTAATAATCATAATAATAAAGCTAATACTATTAATACTAATCATAATACTACTACTACAAATAATAATAATAATGATAATAATAATAATGATAATAATAATAATATTATTAACAATAAAAATACTACTACTAATAATAATAATGCTGATGATACACATAAGCACGATGATACTAATAAGAATAATAAGAAGGTTGCCTCTTTGTTCCAAGGAGGCGAAGGTGTCCTGTTTATGTGCGGAGCATCCCTCGCGATGCCCAGGGGGCCCCGAGTTTCCAAAATGCCGGGGAAGCTGGAAGGCACCCTGGGCCGGGATCGCCTCTGACGACCTCTGGCCCTGGACACTCCAGGGGCTCCCCCCGGAGCTGGCCTCTCATCGAAAGTTGGCTCCGACGCTCCCCTGAGCCCCGGGAGGGGCCCCAGGAGAGGCGCCAGTCAGCCATGCGCAGAGGGGGGTGGGGGGAGGGTAGACGAGCGCGTTCCACTACTCGCAAAGAAGCTACTCGCAAACCGCCTGGATCCGCCGCGGGGGATCTACGATAAATTTCATCGATGCAGACATGTGTTCTTCGGGCGTTTGCGAGCAGGCACTCTGCGAGTAGTGGAAGGCGCCCCGTGAGAGGGAGGAGGGCTTCTTAGAAGCACCCCTGCTTCGTAGAGGGCGCGGGCCTTGCCCACAGATGTAAGGCCGGCGCCTGCTAAGCAGCCTCCTTCCAAGAAGCCCTCCCCCCTCCCTCCACTCCCCCGTGCGCACCGCCAAGCCAGGAGGTCGGATACGGCGAACGAGCTCTGGATCCCTTCCCCTAGCGACCACTTTCGCCCATGCCGGCCTAGGGAGTCACGGACCGTGCCGGTAACGCTGTCGGCACCGTCCACTCCGAACATCAGGTCGCACTGCACCCCGCCCTGCGCATCCAGAAAGTGCGAGGCGCCATGCCACTGCAGCACGGAGCCGAGCCCGAGGGTCCAGCCCGAGGCGCGCACCTGCAGGTCGGGGGTCGTGAAACGCACGCTGGCGCCGCTGGCCGCGAACTCGACGGCAGTGACCTCAGGGGGCCCAATGTGGCACAAACAGCTGGACACAAATCCAGCGAGCCTCAACAACCTGCCGTGCTTTCTGGATCTCCGTCTTCCCCCCGCTTCCCCTGTTTTTCCGAGATGCTCCTGGGAGTAAGTGTCAATTTGTGTCTGTGCCTATCTTTCGCTCCTTTTTTTTGTTAGGTCGGGTGCTCGTTGGGGACCCAGCGCCCTCTAGGAGTCCTTGGGGACCTGGTGGCTAGAGCAGTTGGCGACTCGACGATGAAAAGCTCCACTGTCGGCGGGTGCATCGTGAGTCGCCGCACAATGTGAGAGGGGCTAAAAAGGACCACGCCTCAGCAAGGGGCCTATGCCTCCTCGCCGTAGTGCGAAGCCTAGCCTCGAAATGTTGGGCTGGGGACCCCTTCAAACCCAGCCGCCCTGACTGTGCCTGTCTTTCGCTCCTGATGACCCCCCGGTCGACGAAGCGGAACGAGCCGGGCAGCTCGGCGTGGCAGGCGACCTCGTCGGTGCCGACAATCCTGCGAGGGGAGCGGCGGGGGACAGGGGGAGAGGGGACCGGCTCAGTGGGGGGGGGGCTCTGGCCCAGGAGGAGGAGGA